CGACGTCTCTCTTTCCGGCTGCTTCTATGTATTTAGCTGTTTCGAGTGTCGCTCTTCCTTCCTTCTCCTCCTCGTCGACGTCTGGCCGTTTTGGTTAAAACACGTCGCGCGAACCACGGTGATGCAACGGAAGTGTACACGTACACTACCAGCTAAAAGTTTCGAAACGCTGCAGATGCATCGCAGGTTGCATCAAAATTTGTAGAAAGTTAGCGACTTTAAGAGTGTTTTGTCATTCAAATTGATGTGTACGAGGTAGATTGATCTCAACAACGTTAATTTCGAAACTATAAAAAATTAGTGGCAGATTCGTGAATTTTTTGTTATTCAAATTGATGTATATGAGATAAATTGTTAATAACTCTGTTGGATTACTTTTGGGGAAATGAGTGTTTGTGTGTAGTGGGGACATTTTTACATTTCCTTGTCTATTTTCTCTTGTATTATAGCCATCGAGCTTTCACTTATTTCTGTGTAAAAGATAAGCATTTTGGTGTAATATTAAAATATTGGGAATATTTTACTGAGTAAAACATTAGTATAAATAAGAAAGCTAAATTGCGTGTTATAGTTAGACGTACATAATAAAGCGCAATTTAGTTTCCTTTTCAGTTATTCGAGGGAGACTGTTACCATATCCAACAGATCTCAACAATATCAATTTGTGATCTGTAAAAAATTAGTAGTAGATTCGTAGTATTGATGAAAATTCAGAGGTGATTCTAAACTTTTGGTTGGTGGTGTATGTATAGACACAGAATGTGTGTACTCTACGATTATCATGCACTGTGCTTGTTTCCGTTCGTTTTATTTAACACGTTCAACTGCTGATCGGATTTTTATTATGCTATATGCATTATCTCATGTTCTATGCTACATACGAATAAATAGACTGCGGATATTTATGAATGTAGTGAACAACATAGAAGGTAGATAGGCAACTGTTTTATTCACTAAATATTAGAATGAGTACTACATTTTGAGTTTATTTATGTATTTTTGCTAATTATGTGCATTAAATGTACAATACACACATTTACGTTAAAGAATATAGGTGACCTTGAAAAAAAAAATGGCATTTTTTTCTCTTTCAGTGCTGTTGCGGATTACGCTTTGTGTCCTTACACGGAGCGAAATTTCGGTTAGATAGGAAAGCTGGAACATTCAACGCATGTGGTTACTACGTCGTTCTCCAATAGTGTTAAGGATACTTAAGTTAGACCAGGTTTACGATACGGACGCGACTCTCTGCTATTTTTCAGATTAACGTTTGAATACACGTTTAATGTTTTCGTTCGTTAATTATTCCTTATTGTCAGGAGGGCTCGAAACCTCTCGTAAAAGCGGAGAATTTGGAGTTTCTTCGTGCATCTCAATAGCAATTGACGTATGCAATGCTCGCGAGCTAGCGCTACCGTTACCCTGGGTTTGTCCCATAAGCCCAGGTGACGCGTACTTGACGCAAAACACCCCATCATTGAGGGTGAGTGGTTGGCGTTGGGCGTTAACCAAGGCCCAAAAACTCACCCCCGTCAAGGGACCCAAATGCGACCAGGGAAGGGGAAATACGAGGGCTGACCGGGACAACGCGCCAACGAGACAACCAGAACACAAAAAAGGTTAAGAGCAAAAAGTTCAGGCGATCACACAGTCGCTACATTTTCAATCGATTCTCGGCGACGTGTCAGAATTGAACAAATAGGTAGGAGGGTTAGACTGGAACATTCAACGTATGTTAACATGTCGTATTCCAAGGTTAGATAGGAAGGCTGGAACATTCAACGCATGTGGTTACTACGTCGTTCTCCAATAGGTAGAAGGGTTGAGGACTGTGCGCATCGTAATGTTAGATATACCTCGAGCGGTAAAGGTGTATCTTTTCGAGTCTAGCCAATTCGTTACTGATGTTACCAAGGAGATGGTTACTGAATGTAAGTAGATGTAATTCTACAATAACTATATTCTATCAATAATAATGTTTAAGTTTACAATAGGTTACAATGATTTTAAAGATAAGGTATACTGGTCGATTCTTGACTGGGCAAGAATCTTCCTTCTCGACTTTACACTTTACACGAATGTCTAGTTGACACTTACGAAATAAGTATTAAACTTGGTTGCTCTAAAGGGAGTGCAGCCCGATCTTGCTCGTGTCAAAACGGCGACTATGAGAATACTGTTCTGCTTCAAAGTTCAGAGCGACTCTGCCCCAGAGCATCAGAAATCGTGCCCTTATATACACCAAAAATCGTGTTCTCTTTTTTCGTGGTGGGGGCCCTAGATTTTCGTGAGAACGGAATGCGTTCGTTTACCCTATCTCAAGAGCCTTCTAAGGGGTGCGCGCTAGGCGGAAGTCTCGGCTAGTCTGCGTACGTAACAGTGCAGCATTCTTCTTGCGCCCCTTTGAACTGCGGAGGCAGGCGAGAATTTCGATAGATTTTAGCAGAATTCGATAAATTTAAGTAGACTTCCGTAGGCTTCAAAAAATTTCAATGGATACTAGTAGATTACAGTAGATTTTAATAGAATTAAATTGTGCTAGATTTCAGCAGAGTTCGGTAGATTTCAATAGATTCCTGTACCCTACACATTCCCTTATTACCCCAACACTTATGAACGAAAGTGTACACTCCCATTTCCATCGGTACAAATCAATTTACCCAATCACACTTCACCTTCCACAAAACTCGCTAACGTGTCACTCTAACCCAACCACCGACCACTCATTCCAGCCTTAAAATCGGATAAATTACATCCTACAGCCACCTAACCGTGTCGCGGAGGCACATTTAAAAGAGAAACGAAAAGAAAATAGCAACTGCGGCTATTCGCGGAACCTGTCTATTTATACGGTAGCCCGTATTTTCGCATTAAGAGGCAGTAAAATTTCTATCGGGATAGAGAGATGTTGAGAGAGCACACGTTCCGCCTGCAGATTAGTTCACGTCAATCTAAAACAGGTGACTCGGATTTCCATACGCTCTCTCACACATGCGTGTGGGCGTTCTTCTCTCTCTCTCTCTCTCTCTCTTCGTCTTCCCGCCTCTTTATGAGCAGTCATCGAGAAACCCGTGTAAAATTCCCGATAGTAAATTCGTCCCGGTGAGCACGGGTATCTACTTTTATTGCACGTAATTTCAGCTTCTAAGAGACGATCGACTAACTGCCAAAATAAACGCCACTTTGTTATCGGGACTTCGCGAAAAACTGCGCCACGTGGTCCTATAATCCCATCCTTCGGGAATATTCGGAGATTTACAACGCGGACATTACGGACAGACGGTCCTCGAGGATATTGATTATCGTTGTAAATATTTTCGACGGAGATTTAAATGCGGGAGTACTGATTAATTAGCGATGAACGCTCTCGCCTGATCGGACACTGACTCGCACTACTCGCGAGGCGAATTTCGTGGAGAAGAAAGTAGGGAGTATTGGTCGCTGTGCTACTGGTTGGTATGAGAATTTACGACGGTCATTTCTAATTTTTACATATTTTTAGGAATAAAATATGGATAAACTTGCGAGTATTTAAGAAGAGCGGAGGAATTATTTCGAGCAATGTGTATGATGTACAATTTTTAGAATAGCGTAAGTGTTTGTTGGAATTGTTTAAGGATGTTATCGTGTGAAAAACATTTTTATTTTATAAATGATTAAAATATTGGAATTATTACTGAAGATATCTAACTTGTATTGTATATCGTTAAAAGAGAGAATACAATTGGCAAAGTAAAACTCCTTTTTATTTCCTATATCCTATTTTAAAAAATTTTCTTTCTTCGTTTAATCGAAGATTTTCCTGATCTATTATAATTGTCAGTTTTAATACTAAGTTTAGGCAAATTTGTATTACTTCGAACTAAACTTTTCTAATGATTAAATTGTCTACTTATTCAGAAAAAATAAAGCAAAAATTATCAGTCCAGTAGTTTCCAAGAAACAGGTACACGAAGACAAAGAAACACGGTTTTAAAGGAGAGCGCTTTAAAGATTATGACGATATTTTTCTCCCAGTTCATTTGCGCTGTATCACTCACGAGGGGCTTATGTTTCACTTTACTCTTAATGCACACAGACCTGTTCAACGAAATGCTAACTACCTCGAAATGTTCAGCAAAAATGTTACAATTCTTTTACTAAGAAAAAGAAAATTAATTTTTCAACTGTACCAAACTGTGACCAAAGTCGTTTCTTAACCCTTTGTACTCCAAGCTGTTGATAGAATTAATCAGAAACTGTTGGATTATTTCTAACAACACCCTATGGAAATAATCAAGTAAGGACAAAAATGTCTCCGGGTTATTTTAAACAAAGGCACTAAGACTTCCACCAGATGCATCTGGTGTCCGCCTTCGAGTCACTCACTGCACAATGCCATACCATAATGTAAACAGTTTCTAGGTATAAAGGGACCTCAACTTTCTTTTTGGGTGCCCAGACACAGTCCTTCAGAAGATTCAATAGAGTAAAGACGTTTCCTCTGAGACCGTAAATAAATCGTATATTACAAAGTTAAAAGACTATTTCATTCCATAACCCATTTCCAATAGAAACTCTAGTATACTTTTGCAGTGAAACTTTCGAAAACCCCAAGTTTCATTCTGGAAAAAGAATGTTTGTTGTTTATGAATTCATTACTTCAATTCCATTATTTCAAGAATATAGAAAAATCTGAATTTTACATTTTTAAGTTCTCCAAAGTATACGCGTGCGGCCGTAATGGCGCCATTGGAGTGCAAAGGGTTAAAAAGTCTCTTATTTACATAGATCCTAAATTGAGATGAATTTTTGTTCGAGTGCTCAAGTGAGACATACACGTCACGAAAGGGTTAAATAAAAGTAATATTCCGAAAATAATTCACGGTCACAAAGGAAACTCGCTCGGACGATAAATCGATCTCTGTGCAGTTTCTTCGAATCGGTGTGTCCTATTAGCCACGCGATCGTCTCGTTCGTTGATCCTCGTCCACCAAGAGAACAAGAATCGATCGACTTACCTCGTCGGTCTTTGCAGCGACAGTTGGTTCGATGAGGCTCGTGAAGCTTGTTCTACTGCCGTGTCTGCTGCTCCTCGATAAGCAACCGACATCCGAGACCTCACCAGCGGCGATTCTAGCGATCCTATCGTTCTCCAAACACTGTGACAGCGGTATGCCAAATACCAGGCCACCCGACGAATCTGAAACAAAGAACGAAAGAATACCATGGATCGTTTCAATCGTGAAATCATTCTTGGCCGGTTATACAAGAGATGAACGCCGGCTATGTTTGTGGAAATAAACGAGATTCGATCGATTCATCGGGATTTATTCGTGGATAATTAAAAGATTGAAATTGGTGAAACACAAGTGAGGAGTTTTCTTTGATTATTTATTAGCATTAGATTGAAGAAGTGTCTTTCATTCAAATGTCTAGTCGTTTACCAATTGATCTATTAAAGTTTGGACTGTGAGCGGAAGAAGTTGGGATTGTAAGAAATGCGAGATTCCGGCGGCAAAGTGGTGGCCTGGAATTTGTCACCCAGGAAGAGAAAGCGCGCGGGTACCTGAGGGTCCCATAAACTAAGCCTTTTCCCCGGAAAGTCGAACGAGGGGGCTCCAACGGTTTTTCGGAGCAACGTGGGATACGACGCGGAAAGGACATTCTGGAAATAGCCGTCGAGCAAGACGGACGCCGGAAACCTTAAGAATCGCTTAAATACAGTATAAGTTATTTTTGGGATACCGCACTATCCTGACTTTAATTCTTTGTTTTCGAGTGGTGCTTACAGGATTGTTACTTTGTTGGTGGAAGTATTAAAGCGCATGTAAGACTAAGAAATTACAGGGCTTGAAATAACCGATGTTAAAATAACGTCGGTTCGTTCGTCGATGACTATGTGCGATATTCTGTGGGCCGCTGCCCTTTTTCCCGTTTTTATATGGTTCTTCGGCCGTAGGACCCTGCAAGCCGTGGGGTGGAGGTGCAGCTCATCCTTGTCTAGGGCCCCCTGCGGCTCGGGTTCCGCGGTCCTTGTCTAGGCGCGTCGCACAACGCCTTACACGCAAATGAGGAGTTTTTTAAAAATAATTCTTTAGAATTGGGTTGTGTAATAATTCTTAATCATTTACAAATTGATCTTTTAAAGTTTGAAATGTGAGTGAAAACAATTGGGATTGGTACTTTGTTGGTGGAAGTATTAACACGTTCGCCGCCCAGCGTGAATCGGTCGAGTTTCTCGCGGGGCCCAAATCCGATAGTCGGAGCGCAAGAACGTAAACAGAGCGATTAGCTGGAATTTGCGTTCTATGTTACCAGAAGAAGAGACAAATTCTCGAACGCCAGGAAGCGAGAAAAAATGTAAAAAAGACTACAACATATTGTCCCAATTGTTCAAAATCACCAGAAATGTGTTGGAACTGTTTTAACGAATACCATGCTACGTAGTATAATGTTGTATTTTATTTGAAATATAACGCGGTAGGAGAGCCTGACGGAAACTGGGGCGAAATAAGGATGCTGTTCTGCGCGTAGTACTATTCGACTTTATTAGACAGTTCGGTGACGTTCGGTGCGTGAAGACCGCTAGACAGAAATCTGCTGTTTCGACGGAAAAGGTTTCTAGATATAGGTACGGTAAGTACGAGAGTAGGGGTTGGTCTCAGAGGTCAATGTAGGGAGAGGCGGTGAGGTCTAGGTTCAGCGATGAGTAAAAGTAAAGGATGATGTGGAGGTCTAGGTTTCGGGGTGACTAACGTTAGGATGATGCGGATTTGTTTACAGTTAAGGAAAGGAGGCAGGATGACTAAAAACTAATGAAAGATAGGAGAGAGGTATACGACACTGTTTTAACGAATACCATGTTACGTGGTATAATGTTGTATTTTATTTTAAATATAAATTAATGTATAGTATAATATAGTGTGATATTCCATTAAATTCTTGTATTATATGGATTTTTATAAATTACTTGTGAAATCCTATTTAACTTAACGAAGAAGAACGTCACCCATATCTGGGTGACGTGGCGACGAACGTGTTAAAGTGCAAATGAGGAGTTTTCTTTGATAATTCATTAATATTAGGTCGTGTAATACGAAATGTCACATCGTTGATCTCTTGAAGTTTGAAGTATGAATAGAAAATTTAGGATTATTTTATTGTTGGAAGTGTTAAAACGTTGGCCTTTAAAATTTTAAACCAAACGTGAAACTTCCTTTCATTTTTTCCCATTTCCTCCATCAAAAAAATTTTTCTTACATCTTATTCGCCCTTTAAATTACGTATAAAAATTTTCTCGCGCCACCATAGCCTGGTAAGATAATTAAGTAGCCTGTTTCATGTGGCTCACCCTGTATTTTGTTACAAGACGTCCAGAAGCAAATTTTAAGCTCGTCAGAAGCTTTAACGAATATCGTTAGACCAATTTCCTTCGCTTGCTAAATTTCATACTAAAAATTACCCTAACATTCCCTTACTACGTCCAACCACTACTATCTCCATGAAAAAGAGATTAACCAGTAATATCAGATCATCCCATAAGTTCCTGTCGAATTTTCTAATTTAGATCAATATTTCCAACAAACCTTCAAATTTCATCAAAAAAAAAATGTAACTTTTTCCACAACTTTTTTCAATTTTTTTAGCGAGACCAGACTTTTTTATAAAATTTCCAATTTTTTTAGTAAGATCGTTATATCAACGTTGTAGAATTTTCTTAGACTTTCATTCAAATATATTTCGCTTTCGACTAAAACTTATGGGATAACCTAATAGTTTTTGTAACTTTAATCTGACAATTTTGCAACAGAAGTCGTCAGGACCGAGGAAAAACTGTCGACCGAGAAAACACCTATTCGTCAAAGAGTAAAATGAACACCCCTTCAACCATCTCCGTTGATATGAAACCATCGAACTGTGATGCCCGGTTTGCTCCAATTCCTCGAAACTAGGAGCAGATATTGGGGCATCGCTGAATTAAAACACTCAAGGATCGTCGGAGATTTTGACGTTACGTGACGTGCGCGTGGTAGAAATAGAGAATGAACACGGAAATGGGGAAAATAGGGCTATTTAAGGGTTCTGGGAAGATGGACTTTGGGTTGTGACCATGCAGAAGAGTTGGAAGGTGAAGAGTCCAGTATGAGTAATGGTGAAAGTTGTAAATACAGATAAAACTAAGAAGGAAAATATTTGAGGGTGTAACAGAACGGACACCGGTGCATCGTAAACACGAACATCAATCCAAAGTCGCGACTACGTTCGAACAGGAGGTGTTGGTCCATTTAATTTGGGATCACTTCGATCGGCCGGCCAAGAAGGAGATCCGACCTGATGTACGAGTGGTCAGCTGCGTCCCGTTCCCGTAAACACGGATTATTTACTCGTTTATCTCGGATTATTCATAGGAAACTGTCTTTTTAACAGTTTCTAGCGAAGCTGCTGTTGAACACATGCTTTCTTCTGCATTTGACGAAGTTGTGAAACTGCGAAAATTTAATTTTTCAGGAGAACAGAAACGTAATTTGTTTGATCGATGCAAAATCACCTTTGCACTGATTTTATTCATCAGAAAAGTTAATAAAAGTGGCATAGTTGATGGATAAACTTAGTGTAGAAATTTTATATTAGTTGACAAAGTGGTTTTCTTTAAAAAATTAATATAAATGTGTAGTATCGGGGCCTCCATACTCAAATAGGAAACCTCGAAGGGAGAATAGACAGGGAGTGGTTGGTGTAGCGCGCTAAGCCTCAGTGAATATAAATGGTATAGTTTATGGATACACTCAGTGCAGAAATTGTACATTAATCGACAAAGCGGTTTCCTTCAAAAAATTGCACAAACAAATTTACATAATTTGCAAGAACAGTGGAAAAATTGTATGCTAATTGACAAAGTGGTTTTCTTTAAAAAATTGCAAAAACAAATTTACAAAAATTACAGAAACAGTGGAAAAATTGTATACCAATTAACAAAGTGCTTTCCGTCTCTCCAGAAAAGTGAGGTTTTTTGTAATTTCACAAATTTACCGTTGGAACGATGATATAAACAAAAGACACGAAAAAATTGCATTAAACATAAAGAAACGTAATACTGAAAAAGATGAGAATTAATCTCTATATTTTTTGAACAACTCTAAAATGAAAGATTTCAGATTTCATTTTACATGCAGATGTAACAATCCAATTCTGTGAAGTAGTTCAGAGTAATTTGAAATTCTATGAAATCTATTGGAAAGCGAGAAAGTTGAAAATTCGCATCGTCAGACGGTACTTTAAAGTCGCCTCTGGCGACGTGGTCGTTTGATAATATTCCGGCTGGCCATGAATGCTCCGGCCGCTTTATTTTCGGTACTAAACCGCGCGCTGTTCGGCTAAGTTCGCGGAAACACGTCGGTGCCACCTTTCGAATTTCATCTTATTACTTCTTAATTGCTTCGCGCCGCTTGCCAAATGCACGCGCGCGAATAACAATCGCCTACTAGCGACGCCCTCAGGTACTCCTTGTGCGCCTTCGATTATTCGGAGAACTGAACGCCATCGATCATGAAACTCGACAAAGAGTATAGAGTGACTTCCGAATTTTCTGCGTTTCGATTCCAATTTTGTCTTTACAAAGCAGAATATTCTACTGAGTATGAAATTGTATTAAATTCATTAGATATTATCCGAAAGATGTAAACAAAAATTTAGGCTAACTCCTAAATTTTCTATATTTTATTTCCAACTTTTTCTTTACAAAAATAAAATATTCTATTATGTGTGAAATTGCATTATTAACCAGAAGATAAAAAAGGATAGAGTAATTTACAAATTTTCTACATTTCGGTTCCAATTTTTCTTCAGAAAAAACAGTATTATAAATTTTTTATATTGCATTTCCAATTTTTCTTTGCAAAAATAAAATATTCTGTTTTATTAAA